GGTGGCACTCGGCCGCACAGCACAGCCAGGGGGCCTGACCGCCACTAAGCCACCTGAAGCCGCCTCTCGCAGGGGAACCCCGCTCTCCCAGGCACTGTACTGGGAAGCACAGCGAGCTCCAGGGGCTCCCCCGTTCCAGAAGGATGGGATTCGATGGGGTGGCCAGAGCCACCAGTTCACCAGACCCAGTTCACACCTGAACGCGGCAGTCACAAGCTATGCTGACAAACAGATTCCAACAAGCAAATTATTCAAAAAGATGGTTATATTGGCTTTTACCACGTCTGAAAACGTGCTTCACCATTTAAGAAGTCTTTGTTTCACTAGCAGAGAAGAAATTTTCTGCGTGCTCTGGTTTAAGCAGCTGTGCTCCCTCCTTCACCTGCAGCAGGGCTGGGATCCTTTGGGTCCAGCAGCCAGGTCCCCCTGCCCTGCCAGAGCTCTCCGGGATTGAAAGGACAGGCAGTGGTTTCTCCTAACAAAAGGAGGTGGAAATTTGTTATTAACTAAGTGCCAACAATACCCAAAAGGAGAAATTAGAAGAGCTCCTTCTCTCCACAAATTAAAAAGCATTATTTTTTTTCTTTCTGCTTTTAATTACTGGTGGTACTTTGTCCCTGATACTCACCAGAAGCATGAACTAAAGAAGGAATTTGAACTGGAAAGTGTATATGGCCATACCCCTCCCGCCATCTCTCCTCACATGCTAACTGCACACCAGGATTCACGCTTGCCCTTGCCCTTTATGTAGTGCACAGGAGACATAAATAAGCTGATCCAAACAAAACCAACAAACCCTTCACACATCTTTGCTTTCAGTTTTTCAGCCGCTCCTGATGCATTGTTAGCGTAGGAAATTGGAGTTTTCTGGTGTAACTCAGGAACTAGCAGTAGCCCTGAGTCTCTGACCTGTGCCTGTCCCTCAGCTGCATTACTCCATTCCTTTCTCTGGAGCATTCCCTTGTACGGCCCGGAATGTGTTTATACATTCCCATGCCAACGGCTTTGTTTTGCTGTGGTTCTGCACTTTCCATTTCATCAGCCTCCTATGGACAAGCAGTAACTTCTCCCAAGTCTTGGCCATCCTACTAGCACACAATACTAAGGCTAAGTACTCTTCATAGTAGCTGGTGTACGAGAGCAGACCTGTTACCATATAGAAAGTTTCCCATACACACATACGCCTTCCATTACACATTTGTTTTCACAACTACCTAAGTCATCTCCCTTCCAAAGAGCATGTGGATTTAAACTGCCAGCAAGTCTAGAGGTTGGCAACACTTAGTACTGAACACGTGTCCCTTCAAGGAGCTTCTCCCTTTCTCTTTTGGATGGGTTACCAGCTTAAGCCAGCTTCACCTTTTGGGAGATACTCATCTCCCCTCCCTCATACAAAAATATGGAAAAATTTGGTAATTGTGGTGCTTCAGAAAAGCTCTCTCCTCTCTTTTATTAATACAAAAAAAACCAATCCAAGACCTCATATTAGTAGCTTAATGGCCTACCTACTGGAATGGAAAAATTTCTTCTGTCTCCAACATGCACTTGCCTAGCAAATCGCATCAGCTCTACCCTCTACTTGAAGTGACTGGATCATAATTGCTAATATTTCCAGTAGTCTGCTTTGCTTAATCTACTCTCAACTCCTGCTTCAGTACTTTCATCCAAACCACAAAAAACACCCCTTTTTGAGCATGAAGATGAATTTTGCACTCAATTTTTCACTCCCACAGCAAAAATACAAGATGGGCTCCTTAAGGCTAAAAGAACAATAGCTAACCTAATAAAAGTGGAAGAAAAAGCTGAATAATTAATCATATACTAGTTTTTTGATTTTAAGTAAGCAGTAACTGAGATCTGTGGATAAACTGAAAGCCAGCTGTCTCACAACTAAGTTCTGAAAGGCACAGAAGAGACTGGCAAAGGATCTGGAACACTAAGCAGCACATCTAGAACGAAGGAGACGCACAACTTAAAAAAAATAACCATACAAAACTGTACTATGCAACAACCATTACCATTCTTTTGTTATGACCTGTAAGTCAGACAGCTTAAACTTGCCACAACTTGAGACCCACCAGCCCTTCAGACGCTGTCTTTGTGCCCTTGCACAAGACAATAGGGTAAGACCTTCAATACAAACATCTCCGGCACCTATCAGATACTTATCATCAAAGCAACACTCCTGAGAACTCAAGTATGTTATTCTGGACATCTTGGACAACAGACTGTTCAAAGCAATCTTCTGCAATTCATTACAACAGGTGAAGGGCTAAGAGCAGGACCATTTACAAGGAAGTATTCAAAGGAAATCTTAATTTATACACGCTATCAGCCTGTAAACAGGGAAGACCACTTCTAAAAATCTTCAACTGAGGGAAAGGTAGTGACAACATCAAACACTGGTAAGAAAAAATAGAACAATGCTGCACGGAAAACCGAGGAAGACAGATACAGTGATTGCAGCCTGCTGAGCTACACCTCAGACACCTGCAACCAAAGTGCTGCAAAAGTTGGACTAATTTCTCAGTTACTAAGGCACTTAAGCTAAACCAGACACAGTTCAATAGCAGACTACATCATCGTTTTGGACCTTTTGTGGGACTATAAGAAGGAAAACATTTGGCATGAAAATACATTATTTAATTTTAATGAGACTGATTTTTAATCTCTATATATGCATAGCCCAACTCTTGGGGCTCATCTCACTGCCGGTGCTAAAGAGAAAGACTGCACGTTCACAAACAACTCCTTAAACTATTCAAAGACAGAACAATTCTGTTAAACAGTTAAAATGGACAGAGATGTTCCCTTCCAGCCTGTAAGAGAGAATGATGCTAAAGATACGGATGAGAGTGAAAAGGTAAAATCGGCATAAACGTGTACATACGCATCGTTCTGTAGGCCTGTGCATTACAGCAGAAACCCAGCAAGAGAAAAGCACCCGTGTAGGCCTGTGCATTACAGCAGAAACCCAGCTGACTCGGAGCTGTCAGCATGGAAGATCAAAGCAGCATTAGCTCTATGTGGAGTGGCAGCAGCACACTGCCAGGGCGGTAGTCAGGAGAACGGGAGAGTGACTTTCCTCTAAACAGAACAGCAACGTCCTTACTGCTCTCCGGAAGAGAAGAGGTCTGACTGACAAAATAAATGAAGGTGTTACCCAAAGGCTGACACCTACACTTGTGTTCACTCTCTCCAGGCCCTTACAAGATCGGGTGCCTGATGACGCATAGGCCAGTAGAATATATTACACAAATCACATGTGTTGCTTTTATCATCAACCATAACTTTTATTGTCTTTACAATACAAGATGATATAAACTATTAAAAAGTAATTTGGTTTGGTAAAATATTCAGTATATTGAAAATATAAATGCATCTTCAGATCAAACAAGATTAAAAGCATAACAAATAATTTACAAAAATCAAACATTTATCCAGATCAAAGAAGTATAAAAGCCAACAGCTCCAGAACCACCCTCCTGGCACCTAATGTTTTGTAAGTAAAGAATTTCATTCTTTTGTGCACTAATCCTACTCCTTCCCCTAAGCATGCAGAACAGAAAAGGTCAGTTACGTAGTTGATAAAGGCTTGGTGGGGGAGAGGGAAAACAAAGAATAATGGCAATTCCTCTCGCAACCCCCCTTCTCCACTTATGCTGGAATGTGTACCATGTTAGAAAGCCATTTTAACTTCACTTTCCCACCATTGCCAAGATTGAATAGTAACAGTTTTATATATTGTGTTTTAAAAACATTAGTTCAGATAACAGATCAATCTTACGATTTTGTGCTTTTACACACACACGTTTTTTCTCTCCCGTGAAGATAAAATACAACTCTATTAGTTTCCTTTTATCATTTGAATTATTCTTTTATAAGCAGCTTCAGATAAGACATGATTTCAGTAGCAGACGACCAAACCAAAACAGAACACTCTACAGGACTGAGATCTTGGGCCAGTTGAGAAATCTTTTTCTCCAAGGTATAACCCTGCCTGGGCATAGCAATATCATCCTTCCTCAAAAACATTACTGGACATAAGTCATTCCCACCATCACCTATGTACACAATTTGTGTATAACTTACTCCTCGCTCCAACTGTTTATCTAGAAATTCTTTTAAAACTTTCCTCTTGCAAAGGTTTTTAGGGCACTTTGCACAATGGTGTGCATGGAAGTTCTGTATAGTAAGACAGCCAGTGCTGCTGAACGCTGCAGGGTTTGTAAACACTTCATCAAACACTGCACGGAAGTCAGCAGCTTTCAAAATCCAGTCAATAAATACTGTATTAGAATCTGAAACAATTATGCAGTCAAACAACTCTTTGTGTTCGCCAATAAAACCCAGAAGATCTGCCATTCCCGCAGTGAAAGGAATTGTTGTCATAGTCCTTTTCATTTCATCTTCTTTGACGCCATTGTCCCCCAAGTAGACAAAGACTCTGCCCATATATTCTGTCCAATGTCCTGGTCGGTAGGAGTTTCTTAATTCATTAGGAAGTTTTTTCTCAGGAGCACATTTCACAATCCAGGTATCACTATTTTCATCTATGATTGTATGGTCAAAATCAAAAACCAACAGAAATTTCATAGCTGTCAGAAACAGTTTCCAAAACAAACAAACAAAAAAGATAATTATTTATATAAACAAAAATACTGAATTCCTACCCTGATCTTGTGCTCAGAAGAGAAAAATTCTGCAAGAAAATGAAGCGTTAGGACAAATATCTAAACAAAGTGAACTATTTATGGCCACTATGGGAACAGCTATGGGAAGCTGTGCTGAAGCTAAAAAAGCAGTCTGTAAAGGTCAAAGTTCTGGTTCAGGATCAAACTTCCGTTTAAAATAGACGTCAAAGTATCTAAACTCATACTGCATAGTTACTAATACTTGCTAACACAGGGTCAATCTTCCAGTACTCAAGCACCATCAGTTTGACCAATGATTCTAAATTTCTCCATCATCACTTACCAACGCAACCAAACTGGGATTCTCCTGGAAAAACACCTTAAGAAACATTTCAAAAGGAAACTACTACTGAACAGACAGAGCCAGTCTTTTTAACAT